AGCATTTAACCCCACTTTCTTCTCAAATATCTAATCACTAAAGTGAAATCCCTCAGTGTTTCCTGTTGTTTCAGAGCACTTCCCTGATATGTGACGAAGAAAATTGTTTAAATAATAACATGGATGAGAATTTAAAAAATGTTTTAAACAAAAAAAATCAGGATTCGACCTCAACTAAAGAGGTATTTGTGTTGACAATTTAGTGATTTTTTTACCAAGAATTTTTTTTAGTGTTTTGAAAATTCGTCTCAATCGTCGTTCGATTCAGCCGTTTCGACGCCCCAGGACGAACCCGACACAAAAATCCAGCATTTAATATCCCGTTTCGAGGCGAAAAAACAGCCCCCCATTGAGACAACACCCCCAAACCGAATCGAAGAATTGCGTTATTCGCTGCAAAAAACCCTTAAATGTCTCGATTCGGAGCCCCCAAATGACACTCTAACCAACAAATTCGAAACCTATGTGAAAACAATGCCCAAATATCGCACAAAATTGTCAAAAAATGAACGATTATTCTACTGCTGTCTCGTAGTAGGCTGGGATCGGGAAAAACCCCAAATCAAATTCAAATTTCCCGCGCATTGTAAAGTCCCCGATCGGATTGAGGACCTGTGCTATCCGGAGGCGGCAAGTGGCCCCCTTGATATCACCGATAACGCACAGTGTTACTCATTGGTGATAACGAATGATAAGGGCGAACGCACCTTCGGGTATTGTCGGCGGGTAATCCCCGAAGGTTCCACCAAGTGTATACCACTCGCCTACTGTATTTTGAGCAAATATCGTGCACCACGATTCTATAAGAAAATTTTAATGGAATTGGAGACACGACATGGCATTCCTGATAAAGATCGTGATGAATTGATTAGTGCTTTTTATTTTAATAAGTTTCCAAGACCGGGGGAATCCCTTAAGATTGATTTGAGTAGGTTAGATGACAGATCACGTGACTATGTAAATGTCAAAGTGACAGAATTGATTTTGACATTGCACCATGACACTAGATATGAGGAGGCGGATTTAAAACCGCTACATACCTTACCGACTGAGATACTTTTACGAATTTTTGCAAGTCTATTATTGGAACGTAAAGTGATTCTTATCAGTTGTGTTATCAGGTGAGTTAATTCGAATTTAAGTGAATTTAATTAATTAATTTAATTTTAGTAAATTGTCGTGTTGTGTGGACGCTTTACAGAGTATTTTATATCCGTTTTCGTGGCCTCACACTTTTATTCCCATTCTACCGCAGTGTTTGTGGGACGTGGTGGAATCCCCGACGCCTGTCATTTGTGGTATTTTGTCAGTGGCGATTGTCAATGAC